GAACTTTCGTCTGGAGTTTCTAGAGGACCGTTAGCGAACATCGCCGCGTAATAAATGTGCAATAGATAGGCAACGGCGGAGATTATCCGAATGGATTTATCACGGCTTGTTGTCGAATCGCTGGAGAAACTGGGCGATCACTTAGCGAGTGAAACCGAGGCGGCTGCGTTCGATACTTTCGCCGGTTGCACTTCGGGGCGACTTTGGCGCAGGATGTTAAGGCTCAGTTCACACCGCGGACAGAGTCAGAGATAAATTCATTTGGAATTTTATCCGTATAGCTAAAATGTTTGGTATCGCTTAGCGGTAGTCGCGGTAGAGTGAATTATTTCGGAGTCATCAAGCGATATTGTGTATTATCTATATGTGAGAAAAGGTTAAAACTTTTTTTTTATGCGAAAAGTTGCGACGAGCAGACGGGTCACCTGATGTTAAATGAATACCGCCGCCCATGGACATTTGCTGCACCCGAGAGTTACAGATGCGGTGACAAACTTTTGAAAATTGGGCTCCGGCTACCTCACTCACCAGACGAAACGCGAAATTATTTGTCATAATTCCACTTTACGCTGGTCTTCTGTGAGGTCGTGGTACTTACCCGGACGAGCCTGCCCATTCGTGCAACAGCCGAGGCTGCTGCGTGGCCCTACCACCGTTAAATGTATGTTTTAATAACTTTGTATGTTTTACTTTGCCATTCCGCTACCGGCGTCTTTGAATTTAGCTTTAGTAATAAATCATTACAAGCTAAATATGGTTTGTATTCTAGAGTCACAGTTTTTCCTTATTATTCATGATTTCATATTAAAGGCAATTGTGATTTATCTCTATGTACCTATCACGTGTTCAATATAAGACATGAACCAAGTCAAAACTCTTTTATAAGCACAAACCTGTACTTTAGATTGGCTGTTGTCATATGTTACAACGTATAAAAAAATATTTGATATGAACTGAATATATTTATATATTCAGTCTATTATATCATTCAAGTTTACCTTAAAAAGCGGCACTTAAACGCTTTGATTAAATTGTTTCTAAGCTTGAAGTCTCAGGTCTTGAAGTCGCAAATATCAATAATTCGCGCAATTGAATTTACATTTAGGCAATAGGATTTACATTCAGATACAAATATCGACTTTCAGAGATATCTGTCTAATAAAACACAAGTCCGCGTCTTTTATCCATCATAGCAATGTTGGGGGTAGCTTAACTACAGGCTGTGACATAAACAATCAAGGAATTCATATTTGTGTAAATTGTTCAAAAATAGCCGAAATATTAGATTTCAGATTTAACACCAATAATCCTTTATTTGCGACACTTATTGTGTATAGAGAGCAGTTTTTGCACAAAAATCCAGATGGCTTTGCCTTTCAGTGCTTTCGTGTGGAAAGCGCCTACTTGGCGCGGACTAGTTCGGGTTGGTGCCTCGTCTAGCAAAGGTCTAGTGGCAAGTGGGTAGTGGGAACCGTTCATAATTACAACCGGGTAAGGTAACAGACGCAATTGAATTGAATAGGACCGAATGTTCCAAGAACAAATATTGGAACTCGGATCGATACGGAGATGTGGACCGGATGATATCGGCCAAGAAAACCGTGACGTACAGAAGAGCGATGTGGGTTGTGAGTGGTTATTAATTCTTAAAGCGTCTATTTATCCAAGCCAGTACACCGATTCTCTGTTTATCCCTTTGCATTTATCCAACTTTTATTTTATTTTTTTTAATGAATTCGCATTTTCTTGATTTACTTTTCTTAATTTAATGATTTTATCTATTTTATGATGGTAATTAATAGATTTTGTTCTTAGTTTTAGTGTAGCTAAAAGTTCATCTGGACATCGAAGTCTACCACACGTTATATTTTGCTATTATTTAGGAACACAATTATTTATTTATTTATTTAAAACATTTTTAAGGTTTTTTTTTTTCATTTTTATCATTAAACAGGAATCAAATTTTGCATTTATGCCAACTGCCACAATCTGTAACTGGCTTTGAAGTTTTAGGGCTTCTTAAAGGATTCATATTTTAACAATCATCTAGTTTATACACTCAATATTATATAGCGGCACAATTTTAAGTCAGCAGAACGCAACACCGATCTCGAATTAATAACGTTATCCGTAAAATTGATTTGATTCCAATTATACTAACAGGGACTAGCTTCGTTAGAGGTCGTTTATTGCAAGCGCAACTCGCTCGCTATTCGTATGACGACCTGATACACTGCCCGGCTAAAAAGTGGGCGCGCATTCGTCTGACCCCATTCCCACGTTCTCGAACCTGACGTTTGACCCGTTTGCCGTGTGTCGTGCAACAGGTGCACTGAGCTATAGGAGACTATCGACTATCTTACCCTATTGTGGCCCATAAATACATTTTTTGACAAAAAAAACTACCTCATTACTTGTTTATTATGTTTATAATTGAATAATAACATTTTCTTTTGTGTTAGAAGTTGGCAAACGAGCTGGCGGTTCACCCCATGTTAAATGATAACCGCCACTCATGGTCATTTGCAACACCCGTAGGGATGCAGATGCGTTGCTACCTTATAATCAAGTTGGCCCCAGTTACCTCACTTAAGGCATTGCATAGTCAATGGATGCAGGTGGCTCAGGATCGTGCTTCGTGGCAGTCTTTGGGGAAGGCCTATATTCAGTAGTGGGCTCAAGTAGGCTATATATAATGACGATGATGACGAGGCATTTTATATACACAGATTGATTTTAAATAAAGAAATATCTAGAGCAATTGTTTCTTGAACATAAAAATGCTCGTCTCAGGCAAGAATCGAACGGACGACAATGGAATCTAGTAGGTTTAACTGCTGCTAACATGCATGTGTTCTTATGATACAATAGTTTGAAGAGTTTTTGTCTTATATCTGCCTTCTTATTTGTATTCCTCTGTTCTTTCCAAATATAGAGAAAAGCTTTGCAACTGCTAGCGCTGTCCAATTTTCACCGCACAAAATAAGTCCTTATAAACCATCAGCCTCTCGTCACAAGATAGCCAAAAGTTTGCATAAGAGATTTTTGGACGTAAGAAATCGGAGATATCGCAAAATTGTTTATATACGCTACACGGCACTGGGTTTCAAACACCAGTGATCCAATCTGGACTTTTCGCTCCAACCAGCAGTGGTAAACACGTATCTAATGTTGCGAACAGAAGTTGCGAAGCAGTAGAAACAAACAATCATTCAATTGTTTTAAGTGGAGATACCAGTAAGCAAGGGACCAGAGTTTGTAGTTGTGTCTGGCCTCTTTTAAATAAAATAAATATCACCCATTTCAAAATAATTAGCAGATCAAACTGCACTGAAATACTTTTACTGTTATTGTGAACTTATAAACTTACAGGCATGACTCTATGTTTAGGTACCACTGGTGTATCATTTATCGTCCGATTGACAGTCCCAGTTAGTTATTGGATGAGTCTAGGAGAAATTACCGCAAGGCTGCATTTAAACGACTGTATTATAATGTAAGCGGAATAAGATAACGTGAGTGGAATCACGGATGATAATTTAAATAAGGAATATATTCGATTATGGAATATCCTAGAAATTGCCGCGAGTCCAACAATTCTCGAAGAAAGTTTTAATAAAAAAATTGTAAGCAAAATTTTTTTTATGCGTAGTTTTCGATCGAAGCAATCAAGACAGTTAAATCGTTTCGACTGATTGGCTAAATAACTATCATTGTGTTTATCGATTTAATGCGTAATTTTTTGAACAACAGGCTAAGATATGTCGGCTCTTTAGAATCCACATTTCACTAGCAAGTCTTATTGGCCGGGCCGTTACGAATGTAGGTTTCGAAAACCAAATACTAATTGACTTTTGTCTCGATTTTTAAATACTCGAAATAATATTGATGAAGCTTTAAATGTAGCTTTTGTAAACAAGTAAATGATGACAAATTGTGGCAAATCAACTTAAAAAAAAGAACCAGTTGAGTAAAGATGATTTGTGCCCTCCAATTCAATGTCGTATCAACTCTGAGTTTTTAATGGTTTTATTCTGGTCTGATCTGACAAACTGATCCGATAAATCAGTCTAAAATAAAAATAATATATCATTGTATTTGGAGATGAGTTGAGTACGGTCGGCAGCTAACGCCATATTCCTAAGTATCTGTTAATGTCCTAATATAGTATGCCCTCGAATTAGGTCAATAGGCGTTTCTGTGTAATTTATGATAGGTTCAACGACCCCGTAACTCTTTGAACATTTAAGAATGCCTTATCTCTGTATGCTTAAAACGAGCAGCGGAAAGCATTGTTTGAACACTTGCATACATTAAATCTGTCAGGTACATTAAGAAGTAAAATTTAATGTTTATAACAAACGAAAACTTTCACATTTTGATAGTTTTATCTGTAGTTTATTTATTTATAACTAAACAAATGATGGAACAAACTACAGATTCATCTGTATGTTGTTCCATCATTTGTTCCTAATCCTTGATCTCATTCTCAGTTATGTTTATGTTGGTATTTTGTGATAAGTTTGGATCTTGGTTATTTTGTCGGTGAGAAGGAATTATTTTAAAATTCATAAACAAGTACTTCCTTATCTTTATGCGATTGAGACTTATTAATTATTATTATTATTAATACCATGTTCTAAATTGGACTTTTGAAATATTAAACAACATGAAAAGCTTGGATTCTGAAATTATAAAAAAAAACCCGACGATAAAATTAAGGTATACGAAGGTTTCAATAAAAAGTCATCGGACGTTTCGTTTGTCGATTTTTTCGCGCTGCTTCTTGATTTTATTCGTCAATACGTTACACTTTCTTCGCTAGCTGACTCATCGCTGTCAAGAAATTTTGGCAGGCCGTCGGTTAGAGTAATTTATTCAAAGCAATACCTCAGAACCACTTGGGAGGTTACGTGGGAGAATAAAGAGAGCTCGGATGTGAGTAGCCCGCATCGCGCCCAAACCACCCTCGTCAAGCACTTAACGCAATTATCACTCACCACAAACAGAAAGGCGTACGCGAGCCGCATTTCTCTATCGTACTTTCACTGTGAACGCGCACGGCAAGTGCATGGTGGAGACGACCGTTCGCCACCGCTTACGGCCACCGACTGGCTTCTGCCGAGCGGCGGTGGCTCACGTCGCCCCCCATCGAGGGCCGCAGAAGATGCACTTGATTTTTAACAGGAAAGGCCCTAAAGGAAAGGCAACCGGTACACTCGCCCCCAACATCCAGCCGTTATATGGCGGCTCCCTATAACAGTTTCCCATCTGCGGTGCCGCTTGCACCGCTTCCGTCGACGTGTCTCGGCATCTGCCCCTATTAATGCCATTTCACCTGTATCTGTAGCAGCGTTATAGTGCCGTTAAGTTTTGATACAATGTTGTCGCAAGGCATCTACCGAGTTGCTTTCGTTGATTCAACCTACGCGCGTTCAGATTCGATACGTTCATCATCAGATACACTTATTACTCGAACTGTAGGTTCATTCGTTTGATAGGTCTAATAATTGGGTTGCATATTCAGACATTTGTGTGTGGTATTCGAAGATAGTCATTTGGCATTTCATATGGTCAGTGGAACGCACTGATGAACGCCTTAAGGGTTGAAAGGCGCTAATAAAATGGGTCCATGTTTCATCCGTGAATCTCTATCTGATCGCTTCAGAGGTTCCGCAGAGGCAACGAATGCTGCACGAGCTGATATATTGAAATTTCCACGCTCACCGTATTTAGAGCGAGCCGCGTGCTGAATATTGATGCTGATTTGTCAAGATGAAATAAACAACCGTTTTGAGATGGCCATACAACAGATTAGAGAACGGGTGCTTGGCCGTGAAAAGGCCTTCTGATTATTGTATGATCAGAGAGTCGAGAACTTTTTCGGGGGATCGGGAGATCTTTAAAGTTAGTGTAGTTAGTGCTAACAGGAGAATATTATTTGATATTGCAGTATTCGTTAATGTTGACTCGATTTTATTAAAGGTAAGAAAGGAAAACAGTCCTAAATTAGACTATGACAACTTTCAGAAAGACTTTCTAGCAACAGGCTTTACGATATGGCACCGATAATATATACAAAACTTTTTATTTTATGTGAAAAGTTGCCAAGCGAACAGACGGTTCACTTGATGTTAAGTGAATACCGCAGCCCATGGACATCTGGTACACCCGAGGATTCCAGATGCGTTGACAACCTTTTGAAATTTGGAAACGTTATTCGAAATTGTTTGTATGCTGGAAAGGATATTATAACAATAGATGCGCCAAACATAGCTTTAAATGCTAAAACAATGTAGAAAAGGGACGTTAAGATTTTCGTCGGTGTGGCAATCAGCCGTTTATCTTAGTAGCTAAAGCGTCAGGTCGCGAATGCCGAAGACGTGGATCGTGGACGTCGCCGCTACGATTCCCAAGAATCGCTGTGGAGCGGCGACAATTTTTTCGTACTTTTCGACAAATTTTAATGTTTAATCTTAAGTGCAGACGTTAGCACTATAAACAATTAAAAAATTTGTAAGAATTTAGAAAAAAAATATCCAAATATAAATATCTGATAGGTCTTCTGTTCAATAGCAATGGCGTGAACAAATGTCAAGTCAATCTCTCGGCTAGTTTTTGAATTTTTTGGACAGGACAGGACATACGGAAGCTAAATTTTAATATATAAAGGAGATGCTGATATTGGACAGTACTTCACCATTGATCAATGAAAAATCTATGTTTAACATATTACCTTCGTAAAATTTTATGAATATTGAATAATGTAGATTTGTTATAATTATACACTAGGCGATCACGCATCAAAAATTTCCACTTTCTCACGATTAATTGTAAAAAATTTAATTATTAATGCTGTTCGGAAATATTTAATCCGCAGTGATACAGCTACAATCTGCATAATTGCTCTCCGTCGCAATTCATTCGAGAACAGTCTTAATTTGTCGTTTAAAGGGATCACTTATGAATTCTTGTTCTATGTTACGGTGGTAGGGCCACGCAGCAGCCTCGTTTGTTGCCCAAATGGGCAGGCCCGTCCGGGTAAGTACCACGACCTCACAGAACACCAGCGTAAAGTGGAAGTATGACAAATACTTTCACGTTTCGTCTAGTGAGTGAGGTTGCCGGAGCCCAATTTTCAATCGGTTGTCAAGGCATCTTTAACCCTGGGGTGTAGCAGGGCGGCGGTATTCACTTACCATCAGGTGAACCGCCTGCTCGTTTGGCAACTTTTGACATAAAAAAAAATTCTCTTTGGGAACTTGATAGAACGTTACTTCCTTCTATAGAATATTTAGTTTTATTTCACTCTTAACTCTATGATCACTCACTATAAGGTATGTTTCTCTCATTAATTAATATTGATTGCTACTTTCTTTTTATTTATTTTTTCATGTACATCATACCCATCAACTTTTTATTTTTATTTTTTGGTGTACGATGAAGTATATTATCGTTATTATTGGGGATATTTAGTTGTTTTCTCGTCTTGTTGGGTTTATAAATAAAAATAAACATATAGATATATATTGCATATATAACATAAACATTATAAATAAAAATCAATATATAGATATAAATATTGCATATAATACATACATAAATAGGACTCGACCACCCCACACCACCCCACATGTCAGTCACCTCATGAGCCAGGTCCAGATACGTCGTCTTCTGTTTCGGCTTTCACGAGGTTTTCGTCATATGGAATGGTAATGTCGACCGAAAATACCCGCGACTGTGCCATAATTTCGAAGAAAATTCGATTGAGGTAAGAATCATCCTCCTAAATGTTTGATCGCAGAGCGCCACAAAGGAATAAACATGAGTAAGTGCATGAACATATCGCACTCTTAAATAAATCTTAGATAAATATTTTTGACTTTTCAAATAACGAAGGATATTTTCTCGTTTTAAACTTAACCGTACCATTAGATATGGCTATCACAATATGTTTTAAGACGTCCAGATAAATTTGCTTCGAAACAATCACTTAACTAAAAAACTCCTTTGCTGTATCCATTAACTATAATAATAATAAGGCGAACCTGTTAGAATGTGGAGTATACCTACAGCAAAACACTGGAGGCCTACTACTTAAACGCTTCGTTATAATCGAATGGGGTGGAGCGAATTAGAAATTATTGCAACGAATTTCAATAAATGAACCCATCATTTTTATAGATACTGCAAAACACATGCAAGCTTTTTTACCACTGGAAGCTGACTCACATATAACTTTGCTACTTCCTCTACAAAGGACAGGACACTACCCCACGCGACAGTTGTCCCCAGGACCTGTATTTATCACTGAAGAATAGCAACAATACTAAACGACACTTTCCGCTTGACAGCATAGCTATGCTGAAGCTTCTAAAGCTATTCTGAAGCTTCAGATCATTGCTCAAAGTCAAAGTCGAAATTTCTTTATTCAATCTAGGCTTATTTTATCCTCTTATTGTATGTAGAAAAAATTACCTTAATTATTTATGTAAAAGTCGACGTTTCATAAGAACGCGTAAGCGTCTATTTGAATAAAGATATTTTGAATTTGAATTACCACCGGTTCAGTAAGCTAGACCTGTCCAGACACGAACCGGCAAGAAACTCTGCGTCCTCGTTATCTTATTTTTTTTAATTATACGTTTAAAAAATTATTTAACTATAATTTTGTACACGTATAATAATTGTACTCAATGTATTTCGACATTCCATAGGCCCTTTCCATTATGGTGGCTTAGGTTGTTTTTAAATTGTTTACACTTAGTTCTTTGTGGATGTCACTTTATTAGTGTAGGATTATTGTAATTCGGTTAGTATGCAGCCAGAGATGATAATAATAATGTAACTAGTGAAGTTGTGGGAGCTACATCCACCAGAGGGATCCGGTGCTACGTCGAAACCAACGCCCAAAACGTAAACTCAACAACACGTACACACATCATCACCATACAGCCGCTATGATCAACAGACCATGCAATCTGTTGAAGAGAAAGTAAAAAAAAAGTTATCTGCCCTAAATCAAGTGAAAAGTAGAATATTAATGATAGTATTATTCCATTAAAGTAGTATTCTTTAAAGCCTTACTATCCGCTCTCAATTTACTCTTTGCTGTTGGTAAAGGCCAATTTATTTTAGAGTTCACGTATAGCATACGTGGTACGAGGCCTTAGTTGTGGGTCTAGCATGGCCTTTTGGATAAAAGGATTGAGTTCCGTCTTTAGCTGCTCTTCCATTGACATGGTAAGGTACAACTACACAACTAGCCGATTTGTATCTTTAAGAGTATTTACCTGCATTAATTCTAGAACTAAAGTGGGTAATTAAAAGACCAGCAGTGCCTGTTTTACCACGTTGATCCCGAAAATCAATTATAAAATGAATACAGAGCGAGATATTTGAAGTTGGATTTCTTTTTCGTTAATAAAACACGCACTTGTCAATATTACAGAGAAAAGGCATTGATAAAGGTTAATTGCTGGTTAGAGTTGTCCGTATGAGTCCTTATTTAAACCGTTTGCCAGCAAGTTCATTACGTGAAGCTTATTAACAGCCTGACTAGACATGCGCTGAACCATAGTTAACTATTACGGTACTCTTGGGAAGACAGTGGGTTAAGGTCTTATTGACGCCGCGTCGCCTGCACTTTGCATTTGCGTGTGAACACATTAAAACCGTTCGTAAATCATGTCGCGATTTGATTTATTCCATAATATTACCGGCACTGGGTCTCTAAAGGTTAATGGAGAAATATTTACGGTTGTGACCATTGCCGCAGTTAATTGAAGTAAAATTCCCTAAGCTTATACTCATTATGAAGGGTCATATATAATTTTGCCTGCGAATCATCTGATCACGAAAAGTCCTGTGAAACATCTTCAATTGCATTAATTTTATGTTATTAATGTTACGTTGAATTTACTCAATTTTAGGTAACTTATTATAGTAAATAATCATCTATTTAAACATCAATCTGTCTTATTTATTATTATTTTATTTTTATTACTTTACACACACTTTTGCAAAGAAATTGTTGTAATCGTACCTGAATTTAGTTCGTTAGAGCGTAAGGGCACGTCACCCGGAAGACATAGGTTTGAATCCCGGAGCGGCGAAAATTACTTTTAATTATCTAGCAATTTATCTTTTAAAGGATCATTTCACATATTTTAAATTATTAGAAGTATTCTTCCCTTTAGAGTACTAATAAAGTTTTAAAACAATGTTTCGCATATGCCACCATTTTAAGTCATTTTTTCTCGTTGTAAATTTTATCTTAATGGTTTTTGACCATTTAATTTAGAGCTATGATTTTGAAATGAAATAATTTTATTCTGTGCCAAGTTTATAATGTTAAGAACTTTTGAATTCAATCCATTTTAAAAAAATTGTGAGTGATCAAAACAATAGTGCGTTATATAATTTAAATTATAAGCTATTGAAACTCTTACTCTTAGGTAAATGAAAAAAATAATATAATGATAATCTTTGGATCAATGGATCATGGCGGATTGTGTTGTTTCATGCAATCAATGCGAACGAATCGCGTTATATTGCTAATTCACACGACGGAAAAATTAGGTTCCGCTTGCTTGCGAGAAAGAGTGTGTGCATTTGAGTAGGTCAGTCGAGTAATCGTTCGCTGTCCGACGACGGCGCCCGTCCTGCTTCCGCTTATGGCTTTCGTACGGTGCCAGAGAGGGACGGAGCGCGTACGCGTGCTCGGCACCGTTATCCCGCGACGATATCTTGAATGAAGATGGCGTTTTCTCTCGCGCCAAAACAATGGCCCCCGTCAATGCTACCATATCGCGAGTGGCGAATAAGAGACCGCTTAATTGAAATCAGTTAGAACGGTGAATCGTATTACAACGGCATGTTTGTAAAAAAGGAAACGTAAGCAACTTATCCTTTGTTAATATATCTTTTTTATTTATAATAAACGACTTGATTTTATAATGAAGTCATTGCGTGATTAGAAAGGCTGTTAATGTTTATCCAGTGTCGAAAGAGACCGGAAAGCTTCAAAATTTTGTTTCAATGTATGCTCTTACGGAGAAGAGTTGTTAGTGATATCTAAAAATTGTATAACTTTTATAAAAACAATTTAAGAAGTTTGCACTCTTCTCACCCTTATCCCTGGTAGGGATAAGATTTGAGAGCTTTAGTCTGATTTTAAAGGATATCATTGTAATTCTTTGATCGATGCAAGATATATATATATATATATATATATATATAGGGAATTTTACTTCAATTAACGGATATATATATATATATATATATATATATATATATATATATAATCCGTTAAAACCCAGACCAATGGTGACCCTAGCACAGTTGCAAATCGACCCGTCACTTAAAGTCGAAAGGCTTAATTGCTTTCGCTTGAGTAGTGTCAGTGTTTGTCTTTACTGCATCGCTTAGACAAACAATACTGGCTACAGTCTTTCTAGCATTTGCTCAGATTTCTATGGCGTACATTGGATTTTGTAATGGACATTACACAAAGTTAAAGTCGATTATTCTAAGGCTTAAAATTTAAACTATACATAATAATGGAAATATTTCAACTGAAGTTATTGCAATATTTAGGTCAAGGTACAGGGCAAATAAAACTTACAATTACGAGGTAGAGTCACAGTGTAAGTATAGTGATAATTTTAGTTGTCCAGAAAGCATTAGACAGATTAAAATGAATGAACAAATTGTGGTCACGCTAACAAACAGACACCTACACGCATTATAAAGTACAGACAATTAATTATACACACTTATAAAGTCAATGACAGTTAGTTACAAAAAATATAATTATGTAGCTTGAATAAACCTAATTATTTTCGTTACAACAACGCATGGTGAAATAATTTTATTTTTGGGATGGATGAGCCACTGTTGGCCTTAGCGGCCTTTACAGTTCCGACGGGCTTGAGGTGGCCTGGCGCACGAGGCGCTTAGCCTGAACCTCGGCGTATTATTATTATGCGTTATGGTGGCTTAGCTCCCGGGGGAGCCTCGGCTCGGGCCGTCACGCTATTATTATCACCGGTTTGGGAGGCCGCCAAGCTCTGAGGGCGCTTTGGCGGGCGCTTCATGGAGTGACCAGGCTCAAGGGTCCCCGAGAGGGGACGTCGGCTTGGGCTGTCACTCAACACGCGTTTAGCATTCCGATTCGAGGGTGCCCGAGAGGGCCGGACCTCGGCTCGATCGGTAGCTATTATCGGACTGGGGGTGAAATAAGCGCTTCACTTTACGAACTTACGATTTTAGATGGAATGCTTTTAGACATGAGGGTGTTGCAAATGTTGACAATCTATAAAAGAGTCTGTTCTTGTGTTACATCACTTATCAAACGAAAAGCAACAGTAAAAATGTCCCACCTCACGTCTGTCTTCTGCGAGCCTGGTGGCGTGGCTCTACCAAAGTAATAGCTTTCTTCTAGATGAAAAACAAGAAGTAGTACTTGTTTTATTGCTTTCCCGCTGTATTAAGTTTCTTTTGGCGTTGCTTCAACTAATGGTAACTTGAAACATGCATTTTTAAATTTTAACATTGTTAGGGATATTCTAAATGTTTATTTTTAACCACAGCTTTATTTATAACGAAATAGAGAGAATTTTTTTCATTACTTCTACTGATTCGATTACGCAGATTGAAGGGTCTAACGTTGTTTTTCAAGTGAACCTGTGATTTAAGTTAAGAGGTCAAAGATATCATTAAAAAACTATGATAATTGGCCACATTCCGGGATAAAATAAATAATAAAGTTTCAAAAGCCATCCCTAGCCATCCTGTCATGTCATGAGTGGGGCGTTCCGCAAGGCTTCTGCATCTCTCCCATTTTCTTTTCGCTCTACACGAGCGATAATCCTAAAGAACCACAAGTTAACTTCGCGCTAAACATATTGGCCGAATGACAGCAAAACCGCTGTCAAAACCGTCACAAAAAGAAGTAATATAAATATATGTCATATTATAAACATTGATGTTGGAAACTGTATGAATACGATTGTGGAAATAGTAAAACACAGCTGGGTTTCGAACCTTAGACCTGCGGTTACTTAAGCGCATCCTTAGACCACGGGTGCGGTTTGGCGAGTTTGGTTAACATCCCTCCGTAACTTTACGACCGCTTAAGAGATTCCAACATCAGTGTCAATAAAGTCGTTAAACGCGCGTGACGTGCCGTAAAACGGACTGTTACATGAAAGTCGACCTTATTGGCATCACAGAGATTTACTATTAAAGCCGGATTTTCACTACACTATCGGGCAGCAATTTCCGAATTTCAGATTGTTCCCATTTGACCAGAATACATCACCCTAAAACAAATATTCGTATTTTCAAAGTCACAGTCAAAATTTCTTTATTCATTATAGGCTTGTTTTAAGCTTTTATAGAACGTCAAATAACTACCACATTTTTTTTTTATTCGAAAAGTTGCCAAACGAGCAGACTGTTCACCTGATGTTAAGTGAATACCGCCGCCTAGACATCTGCTACACCCGAGGGTTTGCAGATGCGTTGACAACCTTTTTGGAAATTGGGCTCCGGCTACCTCACTCACCAGACGAAACGCGAAAGTATTTATCATACTTCCACTTTACGCCGGTCTTCTGTGAGGTCGTAGTATTTACCCGGTCGAGCCTGCCCATTCGTGCAACAGCCGAGGCTGCTGCGTGGCTCTACCACCAAATACTACTTATATCGTTATGTATATATAGCCGTAATTGCGAACAAATTCAGCATTCCGGGGAAGCCGAAGGCACATTGCTTCGCTGCCGGTAAACTCACCCACAAAGGAATATATCGCGATACATGTACTTTGTTCTTTTTAGATTGAGCATTAAGAGAAGCCCATTTATTTTGTATTTGTTGTCGCGAATGTAATGCACAATCGCCATAGGCCTAAGCTGAAGTTTTCTCGCTCGCATGTTATAGCGATGATTGCAGCCGAAGTATAAGAAACAGCGCAATGTACGTGATGTACGTCCTATATGATCTAGCTCGCAAGAGTGTACTTAGCCCGAGATTTCGTATAGTGAAAACCCAGCTTAAGCTGTGAAATAAAATTGATCGGTTTATTATACAGTACCTGGAGGAACGAGCTTTGCTCGGTTTTTTTTTGTGAATCATGTATTTTGGAAATAATAAAAAAAGTAAAGAAAATGATCTAGTGTAGAAAAAAAAGTAAAAAAATAAGTGTGTAAATGATCGTGATACGAACCGCGGCCGTCTGTTTTGGGGCCACCCGATGACCGACATAACATGTGAAGTCCGATCCACAGTGAGTTCGCGTGGTGCTCTATGCCCTAATAGCGTCTGTACAGAGAAGGGCTTTGCCCAGCAGTGGGATATACGTAGGTTGTTACTTGCTGTTACTTTTATCTGTTTGTAGCTCCTTGGCTAAAGCGGGTGCTTGAGCTGCATAGCAACACCACCATATGTCAGTACCACCGTATTTTCCATTACGTTTCATACGAAATTAAAATAAATTGAGACTCTATGGAGTGGACACTATCTCATTTTAATGCGTCAGCTACGAAGTCCGAAGTGTCACGTGTACTTAAAGTTTAACCAGATCTCGTCTTGTCCGTCGCCCACTCTTTGGGCAACAAAAGTTATTTATCTATGGAAGAGCAAGCTTCCGTTTCATCTAGAAAAAGTTACAGTTCACACTAGTAGATGTGTTATTATTTTTTAAAATGAAATGCACATTTGTTACAACAGGATCTCAGATAAGTTCAAATTTTAAGGGGTTCCGAACGAATTTCCGATTTCACTCACAAGTAGGATAAAAAACATCAGTCATGACAAGCCACCGATATTCAAGCCCGGGTGTGAATCGGTGGCGCAGTTGCTAAGATATTGGCTTCGTCACCGGGGGTCGTGGGTTCAATTCCCACACGGGACAAGTAATTGTATGACCCACAGATAATTGTTCCGGGTATTTGTTCCCAAGGAGAGTTAACGTCAGGTAGGTCATGAAAATCAGACTAAAACCACTTACAACATGATTAACAAGTTCTGCCGACTCCATCTTGATGGGATAAGGGCTGGAGGATGATGACAATTCAAGCCCGCGTACAAAATTGTAAGCCCGCTGCCCAATCACTAGCTAATATCTTATTTATAATTAGCATTATTTTAATCAATGTCAAATGTTATTTAAAACCTCCTAGCCCGTCTATTTAACCGAATACATGTTGAAAAGCTAAAACACGCAAAATATAAATATCCTTTATCTATACTCAAAGTAAATAACCGAGTGTTGAGTGTGAATAAACAGAGTGTTCATGAGCATATAAATTATAACACAAAAGACTCAAAACTCACCCGAGATGTGGTACAGATTTGCGACGACAGCTTGTGTCGCGTAGGATTGTTATTTACATGTGCGATTGTTATGTTTAATTCACTGCGTGGGCGCCACGTGGCCGATGTTCTCGATTACTGCTGATTCACTTTTAAGCGCAGCACGTGATATGTTGACGCTAGTCCAAGGGCATACCCTGGAAGCCCACTTTCGTAGGTCAAATGCATCATAAGACCGATTATAAATGGTTCCTTACATAGTTGAGAGTATACTGGTGTGTACTTACATGTCTATATTGGTCTGCGTAAATAACCTCCGGTCTTTTCCAACGAAATCTCCACGAAGTAAACAAATAATATTTCGAGAAGATTACAATGTGTATAAGTGTCAAGTATCGGACGGATTTTCCTCTGCCGATTGGGAGCACCAAGTGATTTCTAAGATATTCCGGACAGTACAAAAATCAACAATCCGGACAGTGCATATATT